TCATTGTTGTTTTGGTGGGTCCGGGCTGGGCATTCGAACCCACCACCTTAGGTGTATGTGGCTGGCGCCTTAGCCGGTTGAGCTATAGGCGCCGAGCTTATTTAGCTTCTTAAATCTGTAAATTTGGGGTATTCTTAAATGTTTATTGGCTATTCATAACTTCTGAAATGTGACTTTTTGTTTTTCTGTAAATATTTTATTAACCTGCTTAGTAAATATGTCTATTCTGATCCTTAGCTTTTTTTTCATAATTGTTTTCTATAGCTTCTCTAGGAGAATACATTACCAAACTTGTGGATTTTTGATAATTTGCTAAGTTAAAAGTGAGATGGTAAATCTCTGAAATTAGTCTTTTGGAAGAGGGGATAGAGCTATGATTAATTTTAGGTTTTTAAAATTGGTTTATTTAAATGTTTTGTCTGTTTAGACTAGTATTAGTCAATTGTATTTTTATAGCTTTCAGATTGATATGTATAAATTGTATGGTCATTTATACTTTTAGAAGTATTTTTTCTGTATCTGTGATTATATTCTTTGTTCCAAATATTTGATATTTTCCTTTTTTCTTGTTTCTACTTGCTAAAGGATTACCTATTTTGTTATTAGTCTCTTCAAAGGATTTTTTTTTTAATTGATTAACTCAGTTGGCTTTTAAAATTGATTATTTAAACTGCTGCTTTCGTGGTAAGAAATGTGTCTGGGGTATATTTTCTGTTTTCCTCTAGTAAAATTTTAATGACATTTAATTGGAGAACTGAATCCCTAGCTAATGTTTTGTATAAAGATTCACTTCCCTCCTTGGGATGGCGAAATAGACCCTATTTAGAACCTTTGCAGTACACCTGCTCCCTCATTGGGAGAAGGAATGGGTATTCAAGACCCCAAGGCCTCCTTTGTCCAGTTGAGGCAAATCTACTTGTGCCCAGGGTATTTTGGGGTGGGATCTATCTAGAGGTAGTGGCAATAAAATGCTATTGTTTGTCCTGCGTGGATCAGCGGTCATTTTCTCTTATGTCATATGTAAGAATTAAAAGGTGGATATTAATATTGTTCCTGAGGGAAATTTATTCTCAATATTTTCTTGTAAGAGGGACAAAATTACTTAATACCCTTGTATTAATACCCATAGTTAAGCAAAAAGTCATAGTACATAGATATAATTCATATTACTCAATAGGGATAATCTACAAAGTGTTTTTTAAAAAGGCAGTTTCTTTCTCGCTGGATATACTAAATACCCAAAGTGAATTTTCTATTTTAAATAGCGCATAGTTAATCTACATAACAGATTTAAATAATTTTCAGTAAAACCCATGACACTGTAGCCAAAAAGCCTGCATTGTGGGACAATTGAGCTGTGGTCACTTGGAGTCGCTGTATCAGGAACAGGGACATCGGATCAGACGCCATTTCCCGTCATTACTGGATACCTGGGACTGGACACTAAGGGAAACTGGAGCTCGGAGTGATCCTTGAAAAACAACGCTAAAACCCTCTTCCCAGAGGGGTGGCGACATGCGAGAAACCGAAGACCAAGGGCACTGTGCTCGCTGTCCTGCCCTCCTTTCTGACGGCTGACTGCACCTGGGCCCACCTGGTCCTGGCCTTATGCGGATGGGTCTGCAGAGTGTGTGGCCGGCCCTGCTTGCCTTGCCGGGTCCCTTGGACTTAACCAGCTGTGCTGGATCTGTGGGAGGAGCCGACCTGGCTGGCTCTGCGGTTAGTGGGCACTGAAGCCGAGGAGAGCTGAACCCCGACGCAGCTCGCGGAGTGGCCGCCACCCTCGTTGACTTTCAAAAGGTGCTGCGGGCCCCGTGCCCCTGCACCGGGTCCCCGATGCCCACCTGCCCCTGGCACACTGACCTCCAAAGGTGGGAGGGGGCCAGAGGGGCTGCTGGCTGGGTAGAGGCACATCCGCCCTACACACACCATGAGGTGAGGAGGAACGGGCCGTGTCCTCCCTGCTCTTAGGGGAAGCCCCACGACCCCTGTGCCTGGGGCGGACCCAGCTCCTACTGCGCTGGGTGCTAAGGGACCGCAAAGTGGACGGGTTCTGGGAAGCGGGTTCCTGTAGGGCGGAGCGGTAGGGGGAGTGAAGCTTGGGGGTGCCAAGGCAGGGTTAGGGTTGGGATGCCTTAGAGACCCGGTGTGGTGTGGCTCTAAAAGGCTTCCCTCACTCTGTTCCTCATGGGATCTTGAGTCTGGTGGGTGGGGTGCCTTTGCAGGACTGCTGGGGAGTGGTGTCCATCTTGCAGTGTCATGTAGACCTCCGGTGGTTATGGGCTTCTTTTCAAGTGTAGAGCAGTGATTCCAAATGGACTTTGTGCTTCAGAAGTAAAAGCAAGGGATATCTTCATTTTGTTCCTTTTGTACATGATTGTCTTTAACTTTGGAAAATATTTAAACTTGTGTATGTGGCAAAACCTTTAAATGAATTTTTAAATTTCTGTGAAAATCATTTATTTCTCCATCTTAAACTTAATCAGGTTGTTTTGTATTTTATATATATAAGCTAGGCTGATTAAGTTTAAGATGGAGAAATAAATGATTTTCACAGAAATTTAAAAATTCATTTAAAGGTTTTGCCACATACACAAGCCTCCTGCTTGAGTCTCCCAGGTTGCTGGGACTGCAGATGGGTGCTACCACACTTGGCTAATTTTTTTTTTGAGAACCTCAAACTCAACCTCCTTTCACAGCAACCTCAAACTCTTTGGCTTAAGTGATTCTTTTGCCTCAGTCTCCCAAGTAGGTGGGACTACAGGCACTCACCAAGACGCCTGGCTATTTTTTGTTGCAGTTGTCATCGTTATTTAGGTAGCCCGGGCTGCGTTTGAACCCAGCAGCCTTGGTGTATGTGGCTGGCGCCATAACCACTGTGCTGTGGGTGCCAAGCCTTCTTTTTGTTTTTGTAGAGAAAAGTTTTCACTATGTGGTCCCGGCTGGTCTTATTCCTGGGATTATAGGCGTAGATCACTGCCCCGGCTCAACATTTTCTTTAGAAGTTTAAGACTCGGAGGAACAGCATTTTAGACTATATGTTATTCCTTGTAGAGCTAATTTAGTCTTTAGCTGTGGAGACTTGTCAAAGGAGGTAAACATTACAGAATTATTCCTAATGCAAATTACTCAGTAAACGTTTGTTTATATAGTAGATAATGCTCTAAATAGAATTATTCACTTTATGATTTTCTTTTTTCATTTTAGCGTTTATGACATTAACAAAGAACAGGACTGTGTCAAGAACTCTGTGGGTATACTTGGTGAAAATGAATTAAGACCACCCTCCCAGCTACATTCTTTCTTAGAGAAGATCAAGACAGGGTTCATATCAGAGAAGAGTGGGTATTGAACTAAGTACTGTTAAGTTATAACTAATGAATCCAAAGTAGAATGATTTTAAAAGTTCAGTTTTAATTTAGATCATGTAAAATAAAAGGAATTTTTAAATATAATTTTAATTTCCAGTAGCTATAATTTTTTAAAATGATTAATCCAAAATTAATACATGATTAAGTTTTCATATTGCATCATAAAAAGTTATATTTCTTTGAAATTGATTTTTTTTGTTTTTGAATTGAAATATTTTAAATAATAGATGAAATACATGCCTATGTAAGAAAAATCTAAATTGGAATAATAATGTATAAGATAATAGATTAAGTTTCCCTTTTATCCACCTCCTAATCTCAGTAACTATTGGCTTAGCTTTTTTTTTTTTTTTTTTTTTTTTTTTTTTTTGAGA